ACGGCACCAGAGGCTGAAGAGTACCAAGCCACAGCTGCCACCTGTGAGGCGCCGGCTGCAACCTCCAAGCCGACACCTGATGTGTCAGGCCGCCGACGCAGTCGCAGCCGAAGTCGGGCGCGAGCTGTTGCGAATTACACCCTGGAAACGCCTTCTACGCCGCACCAGCAAATCAACTTGCAGATCACCCTCCGGGGCATCCCGAGGCGACCGCATCCATAACAGCATACCATCGCCTACTGACGGCCTTGCACCCAACCTTCCGTCCTCTGCCCTACTCTACCAAGGTGCAGCTAGAACTCACGACGTACCGGCAATGCGCTGGCTGAGGTTCTCAAAATGTGTCGCTGACTTTCCCCCGTCCCTGCGACAGATTGAGTGCACTGCGTCCTCGACTTGGGTCCGCTGTCTACCTTGCGATCCGAGGCCCCGCGCCAGCCCGGCTGCTGCCCTCCATGCACTGCCACTGCCTTACCTACGGTCGTGCACACTCTCTTGCAACAGGTCTCCTGCTCTTCAGTGCAGCCTATGGCTACGCCGCTATCCTGCTCAAAATAAAGCCCATAACCTGGTACCGCCTCCTGCTGCCGGGGTAGAGATGGCTTCTAGAAAGGAGCGGAGGCAAGACAGGCAGCGCAGTCGGCCGGGATCGCTCAACAGAAGATTCACTGATGCCCCGCCTGTGGATGCAGCAGTCACCGAGCCTGCCGTGAGCTCCAGCGAGGCACCAGCAAGGGGTACGACTCAGTCAAGGGACCAGCTGTACTCCATTCCGCCTGCCCTCTGCAAGGAGATTGCTTCCGTAGTGAATGAGCTCAGTCATCTTCCAGGATAGCAATGCGCTGCTCGAGTTGCTTACAGACTCCCCATAGAACACATGTCAGCCGAGAGTAGTCCAGTCCGTAACGCCCGTTTTCTTGCATGCTGGCGAGCTTCGGCCCCAACGTACCAGAGGCAAGGATCTCCTGGGCTATGAAGCCAATGCGGTCCTCGGGCTGTGGCGTGTCGGTGCGTGTGTAGCTTTTCACTTCCACAGCATCGAAAACAGTTTTTAGATCCGCCAGCGGCGTGGGCTGCTGGTTTGCCTTGATGCTGCTGTCTGAATTGTTCTGTAGACTGTAGACCGTAGTTGGCCACCAACAGGCCGTTTGTCTGCACGACGACAGGTGCCTGGAAGGCCCCAGTTTGATTTTGCAGGCTGATGGTCTGGCTCGTGGCCTGAAGTTGCACCTCGTTTCCGCTTTCCAGAGCCCTCAGGCTGCCGTTGGCCCCTGAACCGTTCTGTGCGCGGATTGTCGCTTCCCCGGTGGTTGCATCTTCGTTGAGGACCTTCAATTCCACGTCCCCCACCACATTTTGACGCACCTGCGCAAGGGTGCAGACCTGCTCTATTCCCGTTGTGCCACCCACAAAGGTCAACCAGGCGGGCGAAGACACCAATCCAGGATCCGCTTGAATGGTGGATGCTGTGAAAACGGTGCCGTCCAGGTACATGCCTGTGGTGCCGCCGCGAATCGTGAGAAAGGTGTCCGAGGGTCTGGCCCGCACCGTGGGAGCCCGAAGCTCTGTGTTGAGTTCAACGCTAGTTCCGGTCATGGTTCCCTGTATATCCAAGTCGCCGTTCACCACGGTTCCGCTGGACCCGCCGGTGATGGTCAATTGTGTGTCCTGAGCTCGTGTGGAGATGGCGTTCGTAATCAGGCCCGTGGCGGTGCCGACGACGTCGTCAATGTAGAGCTGGTCGTCCACGCGCAGCCTGGTTGCCACCGTGTGCACTTCAGCAGTGGCGAAGGTACACAGGCTGTTGTCTGCCTGGTCCGTGACCCTGACCGAAACGGTGCCAGCCTTGAGGTTTAGAAACTGATCGGTGGGAAGCAACGGCTCCACGGTGCCTCCCTGGAAGCTGCCGGCTGTGGCCACGGCCAGGCTTGAGTCTGCAAAAATTCGGCCTTTGGTGAGCGCATCGACGCCCGTCTTGATGCTGAAGAGGCTGGCGGACAGGTCCGCCACGGCGGCCCCGTTGGATGCTTCGAACTCTATCCCGAGACTGCCACCCCGCAGGGTCAGGTAATCGGCGCCATTAATTGGCTCTCACATTATTCACCAGGAGCGGATCGGCCGGGGCTGTCCCGATGAGGGCGTACTTGGCGTCGGATTC